GTGAACGTTTGCAGCTCTCGGAAATCTTTCTCACGATGTGGCTAATGTTATTTTATGTGCCTTTGCTTTCGCGCATCCTTATCAAGCGCTTTCATCACATTGGCATGTGAGAGAAACATTTCAGTTGTAGGTTTTATTTTGATGATATTAAGTAAACATCTTCCTATCAGAAATTCCTTTTTCCGCTCACATTTGCAATGTTATGGTGAGGAACGGAACTTAGGTCCCCTGACAGCCAACTGAGATGTAATTTCGGAGGTCATGAGTTGTCAATAACGATAATTAACAGAGCGCATGCTAGGCCCCCCCCTCTATCCAGATACCTCTCGCAACTTAGCAGAGATCCACCAGGCGCGTCCCGTGATAATGAAACGGGGATTTCAAACGAAATTGAAATGCAAAGTTAAGTATTGAAATTTCGCCAAACCAAGTGAAAACTTGGATTTAGGGGCTTTCAAGTACGCTCTTTTCAAATATGGAGATCCCGTCTGCCTCAAAGCTCACCACGGACCGCTTACTAAGAATGAAACAGGGAATTTCATACAAATTGCATTTGAAAATTCAGTATTGAAGTTTCACCAAACAAAGTGAAAATTTGGACCTAGGGGTTTTCAAGTACGCTCTTTTCAAATATGTAGAGAATTTTTTCACTAGAACATGTACAAGGTTTGTAAAAAAAAATTCAATTTTTTTTGTATCAAATTTCAACCAATTCAAAAAAAAACACAAACAGATTTTTTTAATGCAGTGCATTGTGAACGGAGTTTATTTGGGTCAAACGGCCTCAGGCAAGTCCATAGGATGTAACGGTAGATTACTGCGTTCAATTCTTTCATCGATTAGTCTGTGTTCATATATTTCATATAATTATTCTATCTCTATATATCTATATATTCATATATGGCTCAGCAAATGTACTTAGATGGTCTTCTCCGATACGAATTTTGACATATTGCTGCAATAATTTTTTATTACCTCTGTTTCTAAAAATTGGGGACGAGTGGCGTAGTGGTATGAGGCGCCGCTATGACCAGATCGGACACAGGTTCGATCCCCGCCCCTGGGCCAACCAAGCCCTCTACCCTCCGGGGCCGGTAAATTGGTACCAGAGTAATCTGGGAGGATTAAAGCACTGACTTGGAAACGGCTGGCCCCCGCAAGTCACTGTATTAGGCTCGCACGCATACAACTGCCTCTTCGACTATGAAGTTAGTGTGTGCGTTCGGCGCATGCCCTCAGAGGGTATTGAAGACGCCGAATCCTTTATCCTTTATTATCTAAAAATTCACTGGAAAGATATAACGGTGAAGGGTGAAGCATCAAAATAATTCGACTAGCGAATACGATGAAATTCTCTGCTACGATATGTTTTTTTAATTGGTTGAAATTTGATACAAAAAAATTGAATTTTTTTACAAACCTTAAACATGTTCTAATGAAAAATTCTCTACATATTTGAAAAGAGCGTACTTGAAAAGCCCTAAGTCTAAATTTTCACTTTGTTTGGTGAAACTTCAATACTGAATTTTCAAATGAAATTTGTATGAAATTCCCTGTTTCATTCTTAGTAAGCGGTCCGTGGTGAGCTTTGAGGCAGACGGGATCCATATTTGAAAAGAGCGTACTTGAAAACCCCTAAATCCAAGTTTTCACTTGGTTTGGCAAAATTTCGATACTGAACTTTGCATTTCAATTTCGTTTGAAATCCCCGTTTCATTATCACGGGACGCGTCCTGGTGGACCTCTGCTAAGTTGCGAGAGGTATCTGGATAGAGGGGGGGGGGGAGCCTAGCATGCGCTCTGTTAATTATCGTTATTGACAACTCATGACCTCCGAAATTACATCTCAGTTGGCTGTCAGGGGACCTAAGTTCCCTCACCCGTTATGGTAGCTCCACTTGAATGCTCCCCCCATTGGCATGCAGAAAACATTCCAGATGTTCGAATCAGCTTTGTGCTTGATTTAACTGTATATAAGCTAAGTGCAGCGCAAACTGTCCATATCTTCACGGCCATCCATCCTTCAAGGCCTTCTTCTTCCTTGGGAATGGTTCGCGTTCAAAACTTGAGCAACCTCGAACTTTTTCCACTCCAATAAATTTTTCAGAGCTTTCGAGTTTTCAGTGCAAGACAGGGTCTCCCTATGGTACAGCTCGTCCACTCCGTCATGTTAGCGATCATCTTGTATGCTCTGTGCACTGGCTAAAATGGTCCCGACTCCTCAACCTGCAAATTGTCGGCATTTAATATTCCCAGATTTTTGCTTGGTCTCGGAGGCACATCCACAATCATAATATCCGTGGTATCATTGCTCTTGTGTAGAATGTATAGTCTGTGTTCAGGCTAACTTCTGCGCCTTGCGAAAACGAGGAGGAGGGTACCGTACTTTAGGTATCTAGAATTATAGGTCGTATACGCTGTGTTTGGAGATCGTGCTGTTGCGTCCATCAAAAATAGCCTATGCAGGATGAGGCGCAGAGAAAAAAAGAGGCGAGAGGGCTCGAGCTAAGAGGAGTGACGCGCAGTACACTACTCAGCGCCCTTACTAGTGCGCGAATTGCTGTAATTTTACCCCGCGGGTCAGATGTTGCATGGTAGGGCTTTTCTCTAGAGTTGCGGTAGGCATACGGTAGGTGGGTTGAATTGCGAAATCATTTAAATCTTTGACTACCTTCGCATGCCGACTGCGGATGAGATTTCGAAAACCTTCGTGTTTGGTGAATGCGCTACTTGTGTAGCATGTCAGGTAACCCCTTTGTAGAAAGTTGCTGGCAAATTTGCGGTTTTCACCCCATACCGGAGGCCTCATAGCTCAAAATGACTAAGCTGTATGGGTTGAATGCTATCCGCAATCAGATATTGCCTCTAGACGAAGCATACTATGTGGTTATGGATCTCTCGGGTATGTTTCCGCTGGCACTATACCTATTTACCTAGATGCAAGATGACTTTTTAAAATGAGTATGATAGCCGTCACTATGTCAAATGACTCCCATGGGGATTTTGAACAAATCTGTGATTTGGATATGTTGATCTCCATATTCTATCTATCGAAAATGTGAAAAAGTACTGTGGTGCAGAAAGTTAGCCAGAATACAGTGTATGGAATGTCCCACTCTGCTCCATCTGTCCAGATTCTTCTCTTATAAGATCCTGACTTTGAATTGCTTAAATCATGTGGTACCCGCCAATCCCATGCTTTTTTAGCCATTGTTGTTTGTAATGATCGGGAAGAAACCAGCTGACCCTTTCTCATTTTACATTCTCATATTTGTATTTTTAAACCACCCGTAAAACTTCGTTTTGTATGTTCTTATTATATCTTGTTTTATTTTAGTGTTAGGGTCAATGGGATCTCAGAGCGGCGAGCGCGATTTATTCGCTGAAATTGTTGAGCGCTTGAAACGTGAAGAGAACTATGAAACCTTGTTCCAGGGTAGATGGTAAGCCTCGACGGTATAAGCGACGACATCACGCATGCATTCGCACAAACTATCCGTTCAATATAGTGTGCTTACAGAGTGCACCAAGATCTGCGCGTGATCAAACAGCCATGCCGGTAATGCCAGCATTTTGCGCGCGCAAGTGGCCGGCATCGCAGGTGTAGCTATCTGTTTACGCGCGAATTTGACCACTCAATCGGCACCGGAAGCACACTAAATTGTGCAAAAATCTGTTAGTTCTAAGAGCACTATCAAAGTGAGCCGATTCTTCTCTTGTTCTAGACATACATTCACTTCAGTGATGCTAATCGGCTCGAAGATCTACTAAATGGCGTTCGCCCTCCTCAAGAGATCACATGGACAGACACAATCAAAGCTCGGGCGAGTTTTGTAGCCTGTTATGAATTTTGCTCCCATTATCACAGTCGAGTCGTTGACCGCACAGCATGGCCGCAGATGCGGAGCACGCGCGGCGCGACCGAACGCCTGTACCAGTAAAGATCGATATTCTACAAGTCGTGACATTTCAGCCTCGCCTCGCATGCTTCGCAATCTACGGCTAGTCCATGCAGTCGACGCATCGATAGTACATGCCATTAAAATTAGCATTTTTCAGCTTTATGCAGGAAGTAGATACAAAACCGGGAGGCTTACGGCCCCAGTCACTTTTAACAGTGGTGCAACGGTACTCACATCCAACGAGCATTGCTTCATCGAAAAAGATACCCATATACCAAAGGAGAGCGCTGAGTAGGCAGTTGCACTCCTGTTCTTTGTATTTATTTGTCTTTGGGCACAGGAATGGGTTGTTTCAGACTGCCGCACTGACTGCAGCAGACTGCAGCAGACTGCAGCAGACCGCAGCTGACTGCAGCTGACTGCAGCAGACTGCAGCAGACTGCATGACCGCACTGACCGCAAGAGCCGCACAGATCGCTGTATTCTTCCGTAAAGGTGCAGAGGATAAATAGTTGTAGCCCAAATGACCAACAACAATATACGCCTAGATTAAAAGACAACATGAACGAAAGTAAAACAGGTATCATCTCTCTATAATAAAGCGCTAGAGATGAATCATGCATGTAAGATACCCCCCCCCTTCGTGGTCGCGATTCGGGTGTCAACAACTTTGTCGTTATGTGCCGTGCAGATGCACCCGGTCATCACTCAGGATTGTGATTTTTGTCTTAGACGATGTTGATGAGTTCCAGAAGAGTAAAGTGCAGACACCAAACATGATGTTTATCAAAAACCATCCGTGTAAGGTGCTATCATCTAACAATCGATTAGTTCCATTGCAACTATACGATCGCTGAGATTCATCATTACAAGAAGGTCGACTTTGGATAGCATCACACAGGTTAGTTATCACTGGCTATTTCTTGAAAAAGCAAATCATGGTTTATTTGCAAAGAATTGCATCTCTGGGGAGTCTTTGACTAGAAGTGCGTTCAATTATTGTACAAAAATACAAACTCAGGGCCAAACGAACATTTGGCGTTTAGCATCTGTTTCACATTCCATATTTGTGCACGAATTATGCCAAAAGAGTTTTTTATATATTAAACATTCAAGCACTTTCTCTAAAAATATCCATCGTCTTTCGCGCTACGGTATTGACAAGTGCATTTCCAATACAAGACAGCGTATACTTACTTCTTATCCAGTGCTTTTTAAGCTACCGTGATGATATCATACAACCGTAATCTTCTCTCAGAATAATCAATATTTTCTCTTGGCGCTGATTACGTCAAGAGCAATTTAGTTGTTTTGGAGATATCATTTTGATTTTGGTACAAACTGCTAGGCTCTGATATCGGAATCAATCGAAGCTCAGATCACAAAGCCTAGATTTTTTGGATTTTTCATCAAATTAATTGCTGTGCCATTGCAAATAGAGAGTTTTATTTTTTGTGGCAACTCTCACCAGCAAAGCTTCTTCCCAAAGTTTTTCTACGTAAATGACTTTGCACGCTGGAACTTATTTGCCTGCCAATGTTTCCTTTTCTTCAATGCAACGTCTTTCGAAAAGTCTGCTTGAACAAAAATCAAGATGTCGCAAATGTTTAACTTAAAATTTGAACGTAGCTGGAATCCGAACTGCAAAGAATGTTATGAATAGTACCTGCAATCTTCTACCCCTATTTGGACTGTCAGACATAGTCTCCCAATTTTTAAAGTTTGTATCATCAAGTAAATCAGGCTGCTCAGTGAGTTTCATGCTCACCGAGAATCATGATCCTACAGGTGATCCAATCATTCAAAAAATCTCTTTGCAGTCTGAAAAAACCTGATTTTTGACTCACTAGCAATTCTTTTAGAAAATGTGCATTGAAATTGACTCTTTTTCATCAAATAACAAGCATACATGTTCTCTTTCGCTTCCTATATATTCTGCTGTTCAATTCACTTGACAACAACTGTGCGTACATTACATCTGATTGAAGCGTAATTTCTAATTGCGCATCTAAGCAAAGGATCTATTGAAATTTCAACGTGATCTCTATGCCGCGCCTTCTTAGAGAAATTCACAAAGGGTCTCTCTTTTCACCACATCGTTAATGTCGTGCAATTATATGTAGCGTTGGTAAACGTCAAATTCTTCAACGAAAAAATTGTGGATCAATTGTAATAGCGTAGCAAAACAATCGGTATCTGTCTCTTAGTTAGGAATATCATTCTTGATCTCTATGCGAGGCAATTCTAATGCCACTTTTCCAATGATATCTGCTGAAAATACTGCGTCGCAACATTTTGTATTAGAAAATGATTAGTCCGCCTATAAACAATGAAAAATTGAAATGAAAAATTATCGGATCTAAGCTTGATTTACATTCATTGTATAAGAAATTTTTGTCGTTTTGTCGTTCATGCGAACACTCCTTAGAATTCTTTGCATGCAAAATTCCGTTATAACAGCAGTTGTTGATCTGTGATAAGTATACATCAAATGATCAATAAAATCAAAACGTTTTTTTTTTCGTGCTTGCTGATCTTTGAATATTTTCTTCATCAACTTCTACAGCACTAAGAAATTTGAATTTTTTTATGATAAATGTGCACTATGTGTAAGCGCTAATCAAATGTTAATTTTATCTGAATTCGAGCTGTAAAAGCAGGGATGGAGGGAAAATCTATGCAGACAAATAAATACATATATAATTGCAGTGCAAATTAGTAATACTGCTTAACACAACGCAGACAACAGCTACTGCACACTACAAATCATGGATGATGCAACTGCAAAGCAGGTATGATTTTCTATGACAAACAAGTCTGAACACTGAGCCATACTAATTGCAAAGGCTCTCCTTGCGGAACATCCTTTTGAGAACTTCAATATCACTTTCTTGATCTGGCCCGTTATACCAGCTCGAAAAATTAGCTAAGTACAGATTTGCTTTCGTAATTTTTACGTAATTTTAGGTAGCTCCTCCGCTACATTCAGAAGATAAAGATGCAACAATGTCTTCCGATAATGGTTCAGCTCTAATCATGCTTGACACATATGCAGTGGGACAGGTGCGAATGATTGTGAATTTGAACTCGTGTTATAGTCATTCAGAAACATTCTAGCATTCTAGGCATATTCAGTGCAACAGATCAGTGGGCATATCAAAGCAAATTCAACTTTGGACGATTTACATGCTGCACAAATGCAACATTCGACAGCAAAAGCTAAGCGGATGGCATGCAAACGATCTAACGAAACCCAAAGCGAGCGCGATGCACGCCTCGCTACTCTTAGAGAACGTGCGGCTTCAAGAAAGCTAAAAGAAATGGAAGATGATTGTAATTTACGCCTCTCCACCAATGCAAAAAGAGCCAGATTGAGAAGGTCGGCCGAAACCGAACAGAAGAAAGCCGAGCGACTCGCTAAGGAGGCAGAAAGATCTAGAAAAAGGCAACTGGCTTTAGCGGAACAGAAGCGATCATTGCGATCATGTGGAGAACAGTGTTGCATGATTGCTAATACTTCTCGGCAAGATGACTCCCACTTTGTGGTCAGTCTATAGTCAAAGACTTCTTACTGCATCATATATCCTTTTAGGAAAATTCTTTCACCTCGTCCCTCAACATACAAACCAATCCCCTTGAAGGCAAGCATTCAGGAACACCTACTGTTGACTCTGTTACTATGTTTCCGGAGGATTCTGCAACTCAGGTGTGAATTTTTAACAAAGAAATTAATTCGCAGTAAATATTATGCATATTCTACTTATTCACAGGCATCACTTGAAATGGAAGTGGGTTCTTCCGTCACAATGCCAGCGTCTTACAGTATTTTAAAAGCTAAAGTCCGCAGAGGCAATATTGGAAAGATCATGAGCTCGGATACGTTTGAAACTAAAGCAAATGTAAGCCTACCTTACACAGTTTCGAATTTAATTCTATAATGCATTCATTGATAGGTGGCGGAAGACATGTTAACTGTTCAATCACCCCGGACATCAGAAGGGTCTTCTACAGCCGCCTTATCTACCAGCAATGGGCTACGTACTCCTCTAAAAGTGTGTTTGAAAGCTATCAATTCGAAGCAGACGCATAATGCATTATCTCAACGCTAAGTACCTTCATGTAAAGTTGATATGATAAAAAGCAAGGACTCATTTGCACTTCCACTCACATCCCGAACTCTCTCTCTCTTTCTTCATGATTTTCATTAGACATTTCAGCTAATCATTAAGCACTTATCCTCTCCTCTGATCAGCAAAATGCTGTTATCTCCTAATTTCCACCAAAAAGCAATTTTGATTGTTTTAAGAGAGGCGTTATGAAGCATTTACAGGAAATAGTCATTTCTGAGCAGCAAATTCGTCCAACTGCTCAAGGATGTGCTTGCGTTTCAGAGGCAGACGTAAGAAAGCATACTACCAAATACTATAGCTCCAAACAAGGCTGTTATTCCAGGCTGTTACTAGTGCTCAAGGCATACGGAAGAGAAGCAGAGGAGCATCAGCCCAAGTTGCGCGAAGACTTTTCGAAACCGAATTACAAAGAAACGAACGTCTTAAAGCAAACGAAGCAAGACGAAGGCGGCGAACAGCATTCGAAGCCGAACAGGAAAGGATGTTTCAGGTATCTATCAACAAAATGCTTTAACTATATCTCTATACTCTACATAATAACCCAGGATCAGCAGTCTCTGGAGCCTCTACGAGAACGTTCTACTTTCGGTATAGCTACTACAGCTGTTGTACCAGCAGAAAATTATCTAGGTCTTCTTTGTGTTGCGTGCGATTATTGCGGTGCTTTGTTCTTCGAAAACGAAGCTAAACCGATGAATGGTCGATTCAATTTATGCTGCAACTTCGGCAATGTCAATTTGGATCTTTTCGCGAACTTCCCCGACCTTATTCGAATGCTGCTATCTGGAAACAATAACACGAGCAAGAACTTCCGCCAGCACATCCGTTCATTTAACAGCGCCTTAGCGATGGCCTCGATGGGAGCGCAGGTGGATACACCTCGCGGTGGTGGGCCTTACTGTTACCGTATCCATGGTCAAGTATACCATTTTGTTGGACCCTTAGAATCAGAACCTGGCACTCGTCGGCAGTACGGGCAGTTGTACATACTGGACACAGACGATGCAACTGCAGAAAGACTTGGGAACCCTGCCAATGAAGGATGCGATCCCTTAACTATGCATGAATTAACCGTTTGGTTCCATGCTCACAACGAATATGCTGCTTCTTTCAAAATGATGGGTGATATTGTTGCGGAAGAAGAGAGGAAAGCGCAGTTGGAACAAAGGGATGCGCCAAAAATTAGGATGATTTTCGACAGCGGACGCAATCTTGATCGCCGACGATACAATGTTCCTGTAACGAACGAGGTGGCAGTTGTGTTCGTAGGTGAGGACAGCGACGTGCCAGTCACGCGTTCTTTGGCAGTTCACCATAAAAAGAAAGGGTTGCAACCGATCCAGGATATCGATGGTCGCTGCGACCCTTTAACATACCCGCTGTTTTTTCCTAGAGGAGGGCTAGGTTGGCATGTAGACCTCACTAAAAATGCAAGTGAGCGGATTCGGACAAGAATTAGCCAGAGAGAATTTTACTCTTATCTTCTCTCTGTACGCACAACATTTAATCCATTGCACTACGCCAGCAAACTCCTTCAGCAGTTTGCTGTGGATGCGTATGTGAAAATCGAACAAAATAGACTTAACTACACGAGAACACATCAGAAGGAACTCCGTATTGATAGCTACCAAGGACTGATGGACCACCTGGCCAGTGATGACGCACACGAACCTGCAGGCCAGCGTGTCATTTTACCGGCCACATTCCAAGGTGGACCTCGGGCGATGCATCAATCGTACCAAGATGCCATGGCCATTGTTGCCAGGTACGGCAAGCCTGATTACTTTTTGACTTTCACCTGCAATCCGAAATGGAGAGAGATCAAAGAAAATCTCTACGATGGGCAGACATCATCTGATCGCCCGGATATCGTTGCAAGAGTGTTCCATAGAAAATTAGAGGTCCTAAAAGAATATCTCTTCGAAAAAAATATCTTGGGCCGCGTAGCTGCATACGTTGGAGTAGTAGAATGGCAAAAACGAGGTTTACCTCACTGCCATATGCTTCTGATTATGGCAGCCAATTCAAAACCGCGGAATTCTGATCAAATTGATGCAGCTGTTCAGGCTTACCTACCTGACAAAGCTACCAGTCCAAAGTTGTTTGACATAGTCGTTAGCAACATGGTGCACAGGAACTGTGGAGCAACATGTCCAACGGCTCCCTGTATGCTCAATGGACACTGTTCTAAAAACTTTCCAAAAGAGTTTCGGGAAGAAACCGCTATCAATGCCGATGGATATCCAAAATACAAACGACCGAACAACGGACGTTCTGTACAGATAGGAAATGACGTCTTTGACAACAGGCATATTGTACCTTACAACTGCTTCCTCTTGATGCTGTTGAACGCCCCTATCAATCTAGAGATATGTGGGTACGTTCAGGTTGTGAAGTATCTGTATAAGTACGTTTATAAAGGACCAGACCGAGCATCCTTACGCCTTCTGCAGACTAACAATGTTGACCACAGTGATGAAATTCGAGCGCATCTCGATGCCCGCTACGTGTGCTCCCCAGAAGCACTACACCACATATTTATGTACGAGTGCCAATTTAAGTCCGACACCGTGTGCAGGCTACAAGTACACCTCCCAAACTTTCAAACTGTCACATTCCCAAGCGGAGGAGAAAGAGAGGCTGTGGAAAGGGGATCTGTCAAAGATACTACTCTTACCGCATGGTTCAAATTTAATGCTGAATACGAGCAACTAGAATCGGAAAACTCCATTCTTCCAGGAATGGTGGATCCACGGACCCTGTATTACCATCAGCTTCCTGAACACTTCACTTTTGTGAAGCGAACCGGAAAGTGGAAGCAAAGAGGACGAGGAAACCGGCAAATAGGTCGTATGTATATGGCTACACCTAAACAGACGGAAAGATTCAGTTTACGCATCCTCTTACTCCATCGAAAGGATATGCGGTCCTTTGAGGATATGAAGACCGTGGATGGTCAACTATATCCCACGTTTTCGGCAGCTGCACGCGCTCTTGGCCTGCTCCGCGATGATGCCCATTATGGGCATTGCCTAGAAGAAGCCGCGTGTTTCCAAATGCCGGCTGAGTTGAGAGCGTTGTTTTGTTACTTGCTAGCATTTTGTGAGGTCAATGATGCTTCTCATCTTTTTGAACTCTTCAAATCAGACATGTCCGAAGATTTCGTACACAGAGGTGCTACGGAAGAAGATGCAATAGCACTGGCTTACTACGAAATGTCCGATATGTTGGAAACGCTGCAATGTGATCTGTCACAACAGATAACACCTCCATCGCAACCTCGTCCAGATGTACATACTGAAGACGCCGATTATAGTTACCACAGCAGGAAAGGAACCGAGATGTTTGACCTTCTCAACGATGAACAACGTCTTGCAGCCAACAACATCCTGACATCGTTCAATGTTGATAAGTGCAACTTACATTTTGTTGATGGGCCGGGCGGCAGCGGGAAAACTTTCCTTTACAGTACCATTTATCATATTTTAAAAGGACAGCGCAGATCCATAGTTTGTGTTGCATGGACTGGAATTGCCGCCAGTTTATTACCTGAAGGACGAACTGCCAGCTCTATGTTCAAGTTCAATATGCAGTCTGGAAACCGCGAATGTATGCTTCGACGAGAGAGTAAAGATGCTCTGCCTTTGAAGAACGCGGATGTGATTATATGGGATGAGATCAGCATGGTGTCGAAAGATTCCTTGGAAGCAGTCGATCTCCTATTCAAGGATTTGATGTGCAACACGTTGCTTTTTGGTGGAAAAATTATAGTTCTCGGAGGCGATTTTCGGCAAGTCTTGCCCATAGCAGAACATGGGACTGAGTCGGATATGATCGATATGTGCGTAAAAAATAGCGACATCTGGGCAAAATTCCGTAAGCATACACTGTCACTCAACATGAGGACGGGAGATTCCGATATGTCATGGTGTAACTTCCTCATCAAAGTAGGGAACGGGGAAGCGGAAGAAGATGCCGAAGGTTGTATAGAAATTCCCCAAGACATTACATCTAACGGCGACCTCATTAAGGAAATTTTTGGAGACCAGATTTCTAACACCGACATACTCTCCGATCGTGCCATATTAGCACCAAGGAACATCGACGTTAATCGCATAAACGAAGAGGCTCTTAGCAGGTTACCAGGTGAATTAAAGGAATATAAAAGTATAGATGAGGTTACCAGTGATGAGTATTGCGAATACAGTACGGAGTTTCTCAACAGTTTGTCACCTGCGCTACTCCCTCCTCATAATCTTCGACTGAAGAAAGGCGCAATTGTGATACTGCTCAAAAACTTGAATGTCAAGAAAGGCCTATGTAATGGAACTCGCCTGATAGTGACTCATTTCGGGCAACAGGTGCTTGGCTGTGTCTTTGCTTCCGGAGAGCGGAAAAGTCAATTTGTGCTCATACCAAAGATCGACAACTACACCGACAAAGGCGTTCCTATACGAGTTAGAAGGCGGCAATTTCCTGTACGATTGGCGTTTGCTATGACTATCAATAAAGCTCAGGGCCAGAGTCTAACGAACGTTGGAATACATCTAGGAACTGACGTTTTTTCCCACGGACAGCTTTATGTTGCTTTATCACGCTCGCGAACAAAAGAAGGCGTGAAAGTATTTAAAAATGGAACGCGAGTAAGGAACATCGTAATAAAAGCAGTGCTTTAAGTTTGTTCCAAAGCGCATTGATATACCGTCAATATTCCATACACGTTTTTGCTACAATTTCATGCTTCTCATTGCTCCTCTTCATATTCACTTACTACTCAAAAGCAAATCATGTCTATTTTCTATTATGTACATCATCGAGTAATCTATCATTCTACTCAACTGATCTCAACTCCATACACTAAGCTTTTGAGATTTACTCCTTGCTCTCAGTGCTCCCATGTTTTATTTGAGAATTTGACAATACAGGATAATTACTACCTACATAAATCATCACATATTTGAAAATTGGTTTTTCGCAATTTTCTACATGGTCTATCTTTGTTAACTGTGGCAAATGTAAGCAGACTGGACTGCAAGAGTATGAAAAGATTGAATGCAGAACTTTATGCGCATACCATTACAGCCCAGCGAGGCGATATCATCCATAACGTACATTTTCTTGGCCATGAAAAACGCCAAATAACTGTTACATTATGCCCACTTCGCACACGCCCAGACCAAAGTGCCGCGAAGCGGCACTTTGGTCTGGTACTATATATAAAGCGCAAGCACCCCCATCTGACGTCATCGCTCGCGCCAGTGGTGTAAACAACCGACCATCGTTCTGTGCCGGTGCGAGCGTACCGAGCTGATGGCTCATAGCGACAGTGATGCCTGTCTCAGACGATGTTGATCAAGTGGCATAACCCAAAAAGTGCAATCACAATGTTGATCAAGTGGCATAACCCACGAAGTCACCAGACAAGCTAACTTTCGTATAGTTTCAATTGCTCCAACGTTTTACAAGAGCAACTCGACTTCAACCGAATTGGAACAGGTTAGTTGACAATTTGAC